GTCTCCATCGCCACACTCTGCCCATGTGCCACTTTCAGGTCTCCTCACACACTGCTGGTGTGTTGAATTTTTTTGACATAGGGTGCTGGCAGATTACGGGCCTCCCATAGCTGCTGCCAGGCCCCTAATCTGCCATGGGCCCCTATATACCGCCTCCTCATGCTGCTGCTAGGTCCAGAGTCTCTCATGGGTCCCTGTACGGCCTCCCATTGCTGCTGTCTCCATCGCCACACTCTGCCATGTGCCACTTTCAGGTCTCCTCACACTGCTGGTGTGTTGAATTTTTTGACATAGGGTGCTGGCAGATTACGGGCCTCCCATTGCTGCTGCCAGACATGTAATCTGCCATGGGCCCCGTACCGACTCCTCATGCTGTGACGTTGCAACAAGGTGTAATTCAACCCTACATATGTTTAGACCCCGCCTTTACGAACAGCTAAAGGCCATCACAGATTTCCTGATGTTAAAAGCGGATAAAGGTACTCCCTGTGTAACTTAGATGTCAGCCATTGTCAGCTCATGTGTGACACCTGCGCTTGCTCAGGCCCTTTGAGGAGGCCACGCTATTCGTGAGTCGGCAGGACTATGGGATGAATGAGGTCAAATCGGCCATGGGCCCCCGTACCGCCTGTTCACGCTGATGCTGGTCCCACAGTGTGACCTGGGTCCCTGTACGGCCTCCCATTGCTTCCACTCTGCCATGTACCTCTTTGAAATCTCCTCACACTCCTGCGGTTGTCCATTTTGTCATAGGTTGCTGGCAGATTACAGGCCTTCCATAGGTGCCACCAAGCCCCATATCGGCCATGGGCCCCCGTACCGCCGCCTGGTCACGCTGCTGCTGGGCCCACAGTGTGACCTGGGTCCCTGTACGGCCTCCCATTGCTGCTGCTGCCAGGAGGCAGCAGGGTCGCAGCTGTGTCAGTGGAGGCAAACGGCACGGAGTAGAGCAGCAGCTCCACTGCAGCCTACCACCACAGCCAGTAGTGGTGCCGGTGTGCACGGAGGAAGTAGCAGTCAGCCAGTGAGGAGTAGCGGGTGCAAAGTTTCCTACTCGGCGGTGTGGCAAGTTTTCGTCAAGCCGCCCGAGGAAGTAAAACGTAGCCTAATGTCGACTATGTGGCCAGAAAGTCAAGCGTGGCCAGGGGGCCCATGTTGGGACTACAGCGTTGCGTCAGCATATGCAGCGTCGCCATTCGGTGGCCTGTGAAAAACGTGATAAAGATACGGCGGTTCTGCCTGCCCCAGCCCAGGGTTCCATTTTGTCATAGGGTGCTGGCAGATTAGCGGCCTTCCATAGGTTACGCCAGGCCCCATATCGGCCATGGGCCCCCGTACCTCCTGGTCACGCTGCTGCTGGTCCCACAGTGTGACCTGGGTCCCTGTACGGCCTCCCATTGCTTCCACTCTGCCATGTGCCACTTTGAGGTCTCCTTACACTCCTGCGGTTTTCCATTTTGTCATAGGTTGCTGGCAGATTAGCGGCCTTCCATAGGTGCCGCCAGGCCCCATATCGGCCATGGGCCCCGTACCTCCTGGTCACGCTGCTGCTGGTCCCACAGTGTGACCTGGGTCCCTGTACGGCCTCCCATTGCTTCCACTCTGCCATGTGCCACTTTGAGGTCTCCTTACACTCCTGCGGTTTTCCATTTTGTCATAGGTTGCTGGCAGATTAGCGGCCTTCCATAAGTGCCGCCAGGCCCCATATCGACCATGGGCCCCCGTACCTCCTGGTCACGCTGCTGCTGAGCCCACAGTGTGACCTGGGTCCCTGTACGGCCTCCCATTGCTTCCACTCTGCCATGTGCCACTTTGAAATCTCCTCACACTCCTGCGGTTGTCCATTTTGTAATAGGTTGCTGGCAGATTACAGGCCTTCCATTGGTGCCGCCAGGCCCCATATCGGCCATGGGCCCCCGTACCGCCTGGTCACGCTGCTGCTGGTCCCACAGTGTGACCTGGGTCCCTGTACGGCCTCCCATTGCTTCCACTCTGCCATGTGCCACTTTGAATTATCCTCACACTCCTGCGGTTGTCCATTTTTGTCATAGGTTGCTGGCAGATTAGCGGCCTCCCATAGGTGCCGCCAGGCCCCATATCGGCCATGGGCCCCCGTACCGCCTGGTCACGCTGCTGCTGGGCCCACAGTGTGACCTGGGTCCCTGTACGGCCTCCCATTGCTTCCACTCTGCCATGTGCCACTTTGAAATCTCTTCACACTCCTGCGGTTGTCCATTTTGTCATAGGTTGCTGGCAGATTAGCGGCCTCCCATAGGTGCCGCCAGGCCCCATATCGGCCATGGGCCCCCGTACCTCCTGGTCACGCTGCTGCTGAGCCCACAGTGTGACCTGGGTCCCTGTACGTCCTCCCATTGCTTCCACTCTGCCATGTGCCACTTTGAAATCTCCTCACACTCCTGCGGTTGTCCATTTTGTCATAGGTTGCTGGCAGATTACAGGCCTTCCATAGGTGCCACCAAGCCCCATATCGGCCATGGGCCCCCGTACCGCCTGGTCACGCTGCTGCTGGGCCCACAGTGTGACCTGGGTCCCTGTACCGCCTCCCATTGCTCCCACTCTGCCATGTGCCACTTTCAGGTCTCCTCACGCTCCTGCTGGTTTCCATTTTGTCATAGGTTGCTGTATGGCCTCCCATTGCTGCTGCCTCCACCGCCACACTGTGGCTCCAAACACTGGTTTTGGCCCCGTGACTGGCCAAAGGAGTGAAGTGTGCAGTGATTCTAAGATCGACGGCACTCATCTGCATGTCATACTGACAGACAGTATTATTTCTCTTCCCCAGCAGACTCCAAGGGCATTTCAATTAAAGGTACAGTGTTCTGCACTAATATTAAGTCTCTCTGAAGCCTAGAAACACCCTTTTTTAAGTTAAATTCACAGCGAATTTATTCGACTCGAATCGAATATTGTCCACGAATTCGCCGAATCAGTCGAATCGAATTTTTCATTTCTTCGCTCATCTCTACTCAAAAGTTTGCATACCCTGGCAGAAATTGTGAAATTTTGGCATTGATATTGAAAATATGACTGATCATGCCAAAAAATGCTCTTTTATTGAAGGATGATGATCATATGAAGCAATTTTCTTATCAAATAGTTGTTTGACTCCTTTTTTAAATCATAATGATAACAGAAATCACCCAAATAGCCATGATCAAACATTTACATACCATGGAATGTTTGGCCTTGGAACAGACACACAAGATGACACACACAGGTTAAAATGCCAATTAGAAGTTAATGTCCCACATCTATGGCTTTTTAAATTGCAATTTGTGTCAGTGTATAAATAGTCAATGAGATTGTTAGCTCTTATGTGAAAGCACTGACTAGGCTAGATACTAAGCTATGGGGATCAGAAAAGAACTGTCAAAAGTCCTGTGTAACAAGGTAATGGAACGGTATGTACAGGAGAGGAGTGTGGAGGGTATGATAGGGAGCGGTATGTACAGGAGAGGAGTGTGGAGGGTATGACAGGGAGCAGTATGTGCAGGAGAGGAGTGTGGAGGGTATGACAGGGAGCGGTATGACAGGGAGCTCTTATGTGAAAGCACTGACTAGGCTAGATACTAAGCTATGGGGATCAGAAAAGAACTGTCAAAAGTCCTGTGTAACAAGGTAATGGAACGGTATGTACAGGAGAGGAGTGTGGAGGGTATGATAGGGAGCGGTATGTACAGGAGAGGAGTGTGGAGGGTATGACAGGAGCGGTATGTGCAGGAGAGGAGTGTGGAGGGTATGACAGGGAGCGGTACGTGCAGGAGAGGAGTGTGGAGGGTATGACAGGGAGCGGTATGTGCAGGAGAGGAGTGTGGAGGGTATGACAGGGAGTGGTATGTACAGGAGAGGAGTGTGGAGGGTATGACAGGGAGCGGTATGTGCAGGAGAGGAGTGTGGAGGGTATGACAGGGGCAGTATGTACAGGAAAGGAGTGTGGAGGGTATGCCAGCTGGAAGTATGTACAGGAGAGGAGTGTGGAGGGTATGACAGCTGGAAGTATGTACAGGAGAGGAGTGTGAAGGGTATGACAGCTGGAAGTATGTACAGGAGAGGAGTGTGGAGGGTATGACAGCTGGAAGTATGTACAGGAGAGGAGTGTGAAGGGTATGACAGGGGCAGTATGCACAGGAAAGGAGTGTGGAGGGTATGACAGGGGCAGTATGTACAGGAAAGGAGTGTGGAGGGTTCAACAGGGAGCGGTATGTGCAGGAGACAAGTGTTAAAGGCTATGACAGTGGCTAGTATATACAGGAGAGGAGTGTGGAGGGTATGACAGCTGGAAGTATGTGCAGGAGAGGAGTGTGGAGGGTATAACAGCTGGAAGTATGTGCAGGAGAGGAGTGTTGGAGGGTATGACAGGGAGCGGTATGTGCAGGAGGCAAGTGTTGAAGGATATGACAGTGGCTAGTATGTACAGGAGAGGAGTATGGAGGGTATGACGGAGCGGTATGTACATGAGAAGAGTGTTGAGGGTATGACAGGGAGCGGTATGTACAGGAGAGGAGTGTGTAGGGTATGATAGGGAGCGGTATGTACAGGAGAGGAGTGTGGAGGGTATGACAGGGAGCGGTATGTGCAGGAGAACAGTGTAGAGGGTATGACAGGGAGCGGTATGTACAGGAGAGGAGTGTGGAGGGTATGACAGGGAGCGGTATGTGCAGGAGAGGAGTGTGGAGGGTATGACAGGGAGCGGTATGTGCAGGAGAGGAGTGTGGAGGGTATGACAGGGAGCGGTATGTACAGGAGAGGAGTGTAGAGGGTATGACAGGGAGCGGTATGTGCAGGAGAGGAGTGTGGATGGTATGACAGGGAGCGGTATGTACAGGAGAGGAGTGTGGAGGCTATGCCAGCTGGAAGTATGTGCAGGAGAGGAGTGTGGAGGGTATGACAGGGGCAGTATGTACAGGAGAGGAGTGTGGAGGGTATGACAGGGAGCGGTATGTGCAGGAGAGGAGTGTGGAGGGTATGCCAGCTGGAAGTATGTACAGGAGAGGAGTGTGGAGGGTATGACAGGGGCAGTATGTACAGGAAAGGAGTGTGGAGGGTATGGCAGGGGCAGTATGTACAGGAAAGGAGTGTGGAGGGTATGACAGGAAGCAGTATGTGCAGGAGAGGAGTGTGGAGGATATGACAGGGAGCGGTATGTGCAGGAGAGGAGTGTGGAGGATATGACAGGGAGCGGTATGTACAGGAAAGGAGTGTGGAGGGTATGCCAGCTGGAAGTATGTACAGGAAAGGAGTGTGGAGGGTATGACAGGGAGCGGTATGTGCAGGAAAGGAGTCTGGAGGGTATGGCAGCTGGAAGTATGTGCAGGAGAGGAGTGTGAAGGGTATGACAGCTGGAAGTATGTGCAGGAGAGGAGTGTGAAGGTATGAAAGCTGGAAGTATGTGCAGGAGAGGAGTGTGAAGGGTATGACAGCTGGAAGTATGTGCAGAGGAGTGTGTGAAGGGTATGACAGCTGGAAGTATTGCAGGAGTGTTGGAGGGTATGACAGGGAGCGGTATGTGCAGGAGGCAAGTGTTGAAGGATATGACAGTGGCTAGTATGTACAGGAGAGGAGTGTGGAGGGTATGACAGGGATCGGTATGTACAGGAAAGGAGTGATGGGGGTATGGCAGTACAGGAAAGGAATATGAAAAGAGAGTCTCTGTAAAGGTGTGGACACTGCTGGATGAACAATGTTTGTGTTAAAGTGATAGTAAACTTGTACCTACTGGTAACTCTATATTAAGGCTTACCCGTAATGACAGTGAATAGAGATGAGTGAATTATTCAAAAATTCGGTTCGGCTGATTCGCCGAATTCGCCGAATAAATTCGCTTTGAGCCGAATATATTCGCTGCGAATTTAACTTATAAAAAGGGTGTTTCTAGGCTTCAGAGAGCCTTTATATTAGTGCAGAACACTGTACCTTTAATTTAAATGCCCTTGGAGTCTGCTGGGGAAGAGAAATAATACTGTCAGTCAGAATGACATGCAGATGAGTGCCGTCGATCTTAGAATCACCGCACACTTCACTCATTTGGGCAGTCACGGGGCCAAAACCAGAGTGTGGAGCCACAGTGTGGCGGTGGAGGCAGCAGCAATGGGAGGCCATACAGCACCCTATGACAAAATGGAACCCACCAGCAGTGTGAGGAGACCTGAAAGTGGCACATGGCAGAGTGTGGCGATGGAGACAGCAGCAATGGGAGGCCGTACAGGGACCCATGACACACTCTGGACCTGGCAGCAGCATGAGGAGGCGGTACAGGGGCCCATGACAGATTACGGGCCTGGCAGCAGCATGAGGAGTCGGTACAGGGGCCCATGGCAGATTACGGGCCTGGCAGCAGCATGAGGAGGCGGTACAGGGGCCCATGGCAGAGTGGCGGAGCGTAAGCAGCTAAAATTGAAGGCCATACAGAGGCTATATTAAAAAGTCCCCCCAGCAGCAGCGTGGGGAGACGACTATCAAGAGTCCAATGGCAGAGTGGCGGAGCAGAAGCAGCTTCAATTGAATTCAGCTTGCCGTTGGCTGGAAACTGTACGTTTATGTCACTGGAATGCACTAATCACCCAAAAAATATTACCGCCACCCAGCGTGTAAATGGATCTAACTCTTTGAACGTACAATAGTGGTTGTGAAGCAGAAAGTCAGTTTATTGTACACAATCGGTCAATTGCAGCTTGCCGTTGGCTGGAAACTGTACGTTTGTGTCACTGGAATGCACTAATCACCCAAAAAATATTACCGCCAGCCGGCGTCTAAATGGATTTAACTCTTTGAACGTACAATAGTGGTTGTGAAGCAGAAAGTCAGTTTATTTTGCACAATCGGCAAACTGCAGCACCAACTGTGCACGACAGCCACCAAAAAAAAAAGGGTGTATGTCACTTTCAATTTTCGATTCTTTGATATAGCTGTGGCCCTAAGTAACGATTCTGTGTCCCTGAGTAACGATTCTGTGTCCCTGAGTAACGATTCTGTGTCCCTGAGTAACGATTCTGTGGCCCTAAAGTCTCTGTGGCCCTAACTCTGTCCCTTAATACACACAGGTCTGTCTCTCTTGAATGACCGGAGGCTAATGGAGAATTCTGAGATGGCCGCGATTTATAGCTCCACCATTACACAGTGCTGGCTGGCTGCTGATTGGCTAATGCGATCACATGTCATGAATGCATTATGGGTCAGCGCGCCTTGTCTGCGCGCCTTCCCAGAGATCCCCGCCCCATCTTCTCTGTCCATTTTCTCCGTCGCCACACATGTCGCCGCCATTTTTGGGAAAATTCGATTCGTGCATCCGAAGTTTGCTAATCTTTGGATTCGTCGCGAATAGAATTTTTCCAAATCTTCAGAACGAATTCCACTTCGTCATGTTCGATTCGCTCATCTCTAACAGTGAAGATCTCCTATACCTACTGTGTTTAGGAGATGTTCACACTAAATGCAGCCAGTGACGTCACCAGCACATGCACTCTGAAGGGACAGCAGCTGTAGGAGGAAAATGGAGACCATCAGTTTCTCTATATGCCACCTCTCCTATCCAGGTTACTTGTTTCCTGCTGCCCCAGAGCATCTGTGTGCTCCCCTGGTCCCCACGCAGCGCTGTCGGCTCCCCCCCCCCTCTCCCATTGGCTGCTGTGGGGAATGTGTCAGGATGGAGAACAAGAGAAGGGGCCAGTAAATATGTCTTTTATAGGACCATTTTCTAAATGAATGCAGTGAGTAATCGGTACCGATCACTCTTATGTCCATTCATAACTGAAGAATAGTAAACTGTGTTTAGTTTGTGAATGAACAGGAAGCTCTGTACAGAGGTATTCTTGTTCTTTCATTCTGTGCAGCTAAGGTTGCAGAGAGGTAGGTTGAGAGCTGTGTCCTCAATATCCTTTCTCTGTCTAAAAGGTGAAACATCAGAGATCTATTTAGACTCCTGATAACTCATCAAAGCACCCAATGAGACTTCTAAAAAAAATAACAAAATATAAAGTTGTAAAACAAAAAAATTGTTTAACAATAATACAAAAATAAAATAACAATATTGTTCATTTCTCTACTGGCCACATGCACTGCTCTACTTACTGACAACATTCGCTGTCCTACTGACACCAACCTCTGCCCTACTGCCACCATCCTCTGCCCTATTCCATTGCCCTACTGACACCATCCACTGCTCTACTAACTCACACGTCCACTGCCCTACTGACACCATCCTCTTCCTTACTGCCACTGTCTACTGCTCTACTGGCTGACAGTATCCACTGCCCAACTGACTGACACTATCCACTGCCCGACTGACTGACACTATCCACTGCCCGACTGACTGACACTATCCACTGCCCTACTGACTGACACTATCCACTGCCCGACTGACTGACACTATCCACTGCCCTACTGACTGACACTATCCACTGCCCTACTGACTGACACTATCCACTGCCCGACTGACTGACACTATCCACTGCCCGACTGACTGTCGGGCAGTGGATAGTGTCACTCAGTACAGCAGTGGATAGTGTCACTCAGTGTCACTGCCCGACTGACTGACACTATCCACTGCCCAACTGACTGACACTATCCACTGCCCAACTGACTGACACTATCCACTGCCCTACTGATTGACACTATCCACTGCCCTACTGACTGACACTATCCACTGCCTGACTGATGACACTATCCACTGCCCTACTGACTGACACTATCCACTGCCTGACTGACTGACACTATCCACTGCCCTACTGACTGACACTATCCACTGCCTGACTGACTGACACTATCCACTGCCCTACTGACTGACACTATCCACTGCCCTACTGACTGACACTATCCACTGCCCTACTGACTGACACTATCCACTGCCCGACTGAGTGACACTATCCACTGCTGTACTGAGTGACACTATCCACTGCCCGACTGACTAACACTATCCACTGCCCTACTGACTGACACTATCCACTGCCCTACTGACTGACACTATCCACTGCCCGACTGACTGACACTATCCACTGCCCGACTGACTGACACTATCCACTGTCCCGACTGACTGACACTATCCACTGCTGTACTGAGTGAAACTGTTCACTGCCTTGCTGACACTGTCCAAAGCCCTACTGACTGACACTGTTCACTGCCCTACTGACACCGTCCACTGCCCTTCTAACACTGTCCACTGTTCTGCTGACTTACAATGTCCACTGTTAATGTAGGCTATATTTTACAGTGACGTTTGTTTTATTATATTTTTCTATGTTTTCCTTACTATTTAGTTAGGCTCTAATTTCTTTTAAAAAAAAAAAAAAAAGGGTATTCAAAAGAATTTGAGAGGTATGTCAAAATGTGGACAGTTTCTCCAAAATCTTCTGAATTACCCTTTCTTTATGTAAATAAAGAGTATCTTGGCACATGGTGGGAGTATATTGGTGCGCGGTGGAACTGGTGGGTGGTAGTGCGGGGGGGGGGGGGGGGGGGGCGGCAACTTTTGAATCGGGATCCATAAAGTTGCGCCTCTGTAATCTACCTTTATAACAAACCAGGGAAAAACTGAAACTCATACGTCCTTGTGAGCAGCTAGGGCAGGGCTGTGACTGTGCACTATGCGCATAGAAATACGGGTAACAGGAGAAGATCAGTTTTTAAAAATGTAGGAAATCTAAGAGAGGAATGATGGACAGGACAGAAAGGAAGAATAAGATTGGATGAATAGGAAGGATAGAAGAGAACAGGATAGGGTCATCTGCACCTCTACACATGGGGGTACCTTTTGCATGGAGCTAGCTCATCAATGCCTGGGACCAAATGGAGACTTCAGTCATGGGAAAATCTAACATTAAGACAGTTCCCTGACTTAGAGACTGCGTGCAGTAATAAAATGCAGAGTTCCTCTGAAAAGTGATTTGTCCCATATCATTACACACTGTAACTTGAATGTTTGCATTAGGAGGGACTAGAGACATTACATTTCTGGAAATTTTGAAGTTATTTGGGAAAAAACTATTTTTTTCCAGAAAAAAACAATTTTGGGAAAAATTAAAAAAAAAATCAGTGTGGAGTAGTTTTTACAAATTGAAAGTCATTTTGTTACACTGGTGACATGCAGTATATGTAAAAGTAATATGCTGGAAATAAGAGTACAGCTTAGTCAGTAAATAAACTGAACGTGCTATTTAAAATGCCTTTTTTATTACAAATGAAATAACAAGGACTGTATATGTTAAGAACAGTTTACCTATATATTTAGTAGGTTTTTTCACTTATTTATTCATTCATTTATTATATATGGTGTCTTTTGTTGTAGAGTTTATGGCCCTTGCTTGGGGACTAACACTGCAGTCTGTTTGTAAATCAGTGCGTTGCACATTGTGAGCCTCCAGCTTTCATTGCCATAGCCAGTATAGAGTCATCTTCAACCCCCTAATTGAGCTCAATTGGGCTTTTTTTGGATTCATATATATTCTATTGAAACCACCATAAATTACAGGTGGTTAATGTAAGTGGCCCTCTTCCCGTCTTGTGTTTGTTTTTATTTTTATTTTCTGTGGGATAATCTATACACATATGAAGATATCATTAATCTCAACAGCTCAAATATGGACCTCGTTCCCGACTATATGGGGTGACCCCAAGTGCATGGGTGGATGATTGAGTGCCCTGACATTATCAATTTAAAGCATCTTTACAGTGTTTGATTTGAAAGTATCTAGTTGGTCATATTCACATTGTCCGATTACATTGGTTCAATATGTTTTTGCTTATGGTATTTCAAATCAAATATTCTGATA